GAACATAAACGAACATGCCTAAATGAACATAAACAAACGAACACCACTATTTGTCATTCAGTTAACTATTACACACCAATTGTCCATAGTTTAAAAAAAACAAATCACCATTATCATTTGAACAAAAAAAAAACAACCCGCTCATCATCATTTGTCAGTTGTCATCTCATGGAAGTTCAATATATATCATATCATCAGTTTCCTACAACAAACAAACAAAACAATTATTAGTTGTTGTAAGAAAATAAGTATCATAATTGATAAGATTAAGCAAATTACCTTGGTTTTCTTTTTGTGTAGTCCATAATGATGACGATACCAATCAGCTCCGCAAATGAGCATATCTACCGTCTTCGTCCCTAAAGAGGCRCGATGAGCATCGATAACTCTCCCACCAGCACTAAAAGTTGATTCTGAAACAACAATAGTTATCAGAATTGCCAAAACATCAGCAGCCATTTTAGACAAAATTTTGAACTTCAGATTTTTCTCCTTCCACCATTCCAAGACATCAAAATATGCACCTGAATCACCAATGTAAACGCCTTCTTCTAAATAAATTTCTAACTCTTACTTCACACTTGCAAAAGTGTCAACGCTTCTGATATGTTGATCATACTTTGTCGTGCCACTCTTGATACCAACTCTGTAACTTAACTTGTTATAACCACTCTTAACTCCACTCTCACTTTTTTCAGGTGCACTACTCATTTGAACAACATTAGCCGCTTTATGTTGTTCAACATACTCTTCAAACATTTTAGTAAGAGTATCTTGAACAATTTTCATTTGCTTAGGTGCCTCATCCTCTGAATAAATGGAACTAAAAGAGAACTCAACCAACTTCATCGTGTATCTAGTAGGGGTGTTCAAAAAAACCGCCGGACCGCTCAAACCGGCCGAACCAAGTCAAACCGGACCGTTTTTGGCGGTTTGAGCGGTCTGGCGGTCCGGTCTGGTTTGAAAAATAGCCGAAACCGCGCAGTCTGGTCGGTTTGCGGTTTAGACTTTTTTTTGGGCGGTTTGGACCAACCCGACCGCCATATATATATATATATATATATATCTATATATATATATATTATTTTATTTTAGTATTATAATTATACAGCCCAAACATAAAGCCTTATCCAAAAGATGTCCTAAATTCCCTAAATCTAAATCTCTAATTTGATAATTCCTAACCTAATCGGCTAAACCAAACATCCAGTAATCCACCGTCCACGATTCCACGGTATCCACTATCCACCTCTTTTTCGTTCCTAATCGTCGCGACGTCGCCTAATTCATCTAAATCCCTAGTGTTTTGACTTTTTTTAAACAATGAACACTAAGATTTGGATTATATTTTGACTTTGTTTTTTGGTATGTTTTACATATTTATTTGTTTGGACTTTGGACTTTAGATTGTTTAAATTGGGTTTAAATTTTAATGACTGCTTCAATGCTTAGTGGTTGGTATACAGATTACTCACATGTGAAGGACACTTATTTTTTAATACTTTTATTGTAGAAAACAAATCTCCATGGGAGATGATTATGATGGGTGATTAATATTTATTATTCAAATTTATAATAGTACATAGGACACTAGGTTTTTTGGTTTTAATGTTTAAAGCCCATTAAAGGCCCAAACCGCCTAAACCGGTCAGACCAGACCGTCTTTTCGTGGTCTGGTTTGACCGGTCTGGGCACTTGGTTTCAAACCGCTCGGTCTGAAAATTTTATAAACCGCCATTACGGTTTGGTTTGTGGTCTGAGGGCTTAAACCGCCCAAATCGGACCGCGAACACCCCTAGTATCTAGGATCTAAAACAACACCAATGGAAATCAACAGATTACAAGTACCCCAATATTTGTCAAATTTCTTTTTCATCTTGAGAGCCATATCTCTCATATATTTACTCTCATCCAAAGATAAATCATCTAATGCTTCTTTAATCACATACAACTCACTAAGAAACAAATTAGAGGTAGGATATTCAGAGCCTATAAAATAAAAGAAGTAAATAAAAGTCTATGAGAATTAGGTGATTAGCTTCGAAAAAATGACTTCTAATGAAAACCATAAAGAAAATCAATAATACCTAAAATGATTTTTGTAACCTCATTGAAAAGCCCCAAGAAGGAGCAAATAACTTCGACTTTGTCCCAATCTTCCGAGGTCGGCAAGGTCTTGTATGTTGATTCTCGATCAGCATAGTTTACAAACACTTCTTTAAACTCCAAGGCTGTAGACAACATAACATACGTAGCATTCCATCGGGTACTAACATCTAAGATCAAATGCTTCTTTGATAAGGTCATTTGCTTGGAAAGTTCACTAAATATATGTAATCGACCCGGAAAGGCATTCATGTGTTTCACACTCTCACGAACATTGTGAATAATTTCTTTAATTTCCGATAAACCATCTTGAACCAACAAATTGAGAATGTGTGCACAACACCACACGTGGAATAACTTCCCCCCAACAACAAGTTTTTTCTGAAGATTCATAATTTCCATCAACTTTGTAGCCACCACATCATTAGTTGTAGCATTGTCAACCGTCAAAGTAGCAACCTTTGTCTCAATATTCTACTCTTTTAAACACTTAAAGAGGGAATCATATATACATAGTCCAGAATAAGGTGGTGGTACATCATCAAAACTCAATATGCATTTGTTAAGCTTGAAATCGGAATCTACAAAATGACAAGTAACAACCATATAATGAATATTCTGCACTRACGTCCACATATCAGTTGTTATACTCACACGATTGACAGCGTTTAACATTTTCTTGATTCTTTTCTTGCCTATCTCATAACTAGCAACACAATCTTGCTTAGCCGATGCACGTGAAATCTTGTTAAACCTGGGGTTAGCTTCCTTCATAACCACATTAAATAGTTCATACTCAACAAAATTAAAATGGCAACTCATGAACCATAATCATGTGAGAAACAACCTCTCTAATCCTACTATTGTCAAATTTCCAGTTTTGGACCATAGAAGAATCTAATTTCCCCGGCACAACCTTTAACTTTAACTGACCTGGATGAATGGTGTTGACGGCTCTTAACTTTGGGCAATCACTAATATGCCTATGCAATGGCGTGGTGGTTCCATCTTTAAGTTTCTTTATCTTCTCACCACAATGGACGCACTCACAAACTTCAGTTCCATTAGCCAACTTCACCAAGCGAAAATGTTCCCAAACTCCCGAAGTCTTCATTCTTTTCCTTTTAGCATATGGAGTAGATTCTTCATTATTGACTATGTTGGCCTTTTCTCTACCACCATCAACGGCTGCCACAACGTCGTCTCCATCATTCGATCCGATAACAACCACTTCAAGAGTACTTTCCATTCTTGATGTGTTTGCACTTGATTCAATTTTCATTGATTCAAGTTCTTGAGGCGATTGCATTCGATCTAAATATAAATCATCATGAAAGAAATATGGACCGCTACAAGAGACATCAGACATCTACAAAATGAAAAAAAAAAACATTTTAAATAATCAAAACAATAATTTAAATTAACTATATAAAACCAACGAAAATTTAGAAAAAAACAAGTATAAAATTCTAAGCTACAAAAACAAGTATAAATTAACAAGCAAACTATTTATACAAACTTTAGATGGACATTGCATGATATGGAAAAGAGATAAAAGCTTAAACTATTTATACAAACTTTAGATGGACATTGCAAATGGAAAATATAAAATTATATATGCAGCATGAATGCTTATGTTCTCTCATCTTGACATTGCAACCAATAAGTTTGCAGCCATTGTGGGTTAACTAAACGAACATAAACGAACGAACGTTCATGAACATAAACGAACGAACGTTCACGAACATAAATGAACGAACGAGRCTCTTGTTCATGTTCGTTCGTTTAACTAAACGAACAAAAMWWWTTGTTCATGTTCGTTCATTTATTAAATAAACGAACATAAACGAACTTCCCGCCTAACGGTTCGCTGAACGTTCGGTTCGTTTACAGCCCTAGATACAGATTCATATGTTTGAGGTGTTGTGTAATTCTTTCCGAGTATTCACAATAGTTGGCGTTTTATTGGTATAATTTACTCTATTTTTTGTAAGAATGAGATATTAAAAAACCATGTTAATTTCTGAAACAAATAAACAACGAGGTCTTTGAATTCAAATTGATTTATGCAATTCGACTATAAAATATATTCCATTATTTCAATTCAAAACCTCCATTGGAGCGGGAACTTTGAGCTCCACTCTCAGCTCCAAACCAAGGGCTTATCGGAACAAAGGGCAAAGAAACGATGAAGAAGAAGCCGAAGAACAGCACTGCCGCTGTTGCAGGTACCATCACCAAACCGAAGAAGAGAACACGAAATGTGTGCGAACCGAAACCTAAACCAGAACCAGGGTTTACTACCGAGGACATAGAAGATTTTCAATTTAGGGAAGATGAAGTTGGAGAAATTAGGGCATCGTTGTTAAAATGGTACGATGTTAATAAGAGAGACCTTCCATGGCGGAGAATCAACGACGGTGATGCAACTGACGATGGTGAGAGAGATAGAAAAGCATATGCTGTTTGGGTTTCAGAAATCATGCTTCAACAAACAAGGGTTCAAACTGTTATTAACTATTTCAATCGGTGGATGGAGAAATGGCCATCTGTTCATCACCTAGCTCAAGCTTCTATTGAGGTTCCATTTCTCAAATTCTTCTTCTTCTTCTTCAATGGTATGATTTATTTGGTTAATTAGGGTTTCTGTTGTGAACATTTTCTACAGGAGGTTAATGAGATGTGGGCAGGATTGGGTTATTACAGACGGGCAAGGTTTTTATTGGAGGTCACTTTCATCTTCTTAGAATTTTTGTTACACAATGACATCATGAAATTTCAAACAAAATACTACAATTTACAATATCAAACAATGTAAACAAAACATGGAAATGCATATACAAAAAAACCATTCTGCATTATTTGTTCAAAATCTTGAAACTTCTAGTTGTCTTGCATTTTGATTATGCTAGGGAGCGAAAATGATTGTTGAAGAAGGAGGTCGGTTTCCTAAATCAGTGAATGATCTTCGTAAGGTTCGAGGTATAGGAGAATACACAGCTGGTGCAATTGCCTCTATAGCTTTCAATGAGGTGAGAAGTTTCTGAAGCCATGGACGATGAAAAATGTTTAATTTATTTGTTTCAAACATATTAGTAGTCTAACACATGATGACATAATTCTGATCTAGGCAGTGCCTGTGGTTGATGGAAATGTTGTTAGGGTGATTGCTAGACTAAAGACAATATCTGCAAATCCTAAAGACACAGCAACTGTCAAGAACATCTGGTGAGGTTTTGTGAGTTTTCATATACTTCTTCCATCCCACAAAAGCAGCTATGTTTGATCAGGGGTGGTTCAAGAGAAAACACTAGAAAAATAAGGAGAACAAGGAAACCCATCCGAACCATCCATCTATTTCAATCCAATGGTTGTAAGTAATAGAGACGGTTACATTTTGCCAAAACTAAATCAACGGTTATAAGGGCGGTTACATTCGAATCTGATCAATTTTTTAAATCCAACGGTTGATGGAGGTTCTCTTGTTCTCCTTTTTGGGGGTTCTCTTTTGAACATCCCTCTATTTGATCATATGTCACATACCCTTTAACTAAGACAAATAAAGGAATCTTGCAAACTCAAACCAGTTGCAAATAATATTTTCAACTTTTCTAGAAAAGGGAAGTGTCTGCAATTTTCAAGAGGATATGATTTCAACTTCTGATTTCTTGGTATCTTATCTTAACTTTCTCGTGAGCAAAATGTTCGTGTCAAACATCTAATGATGTTCTCTTTACAGGAGACTAGCTGGGCAACTGGTTGATGTTCATAGGCCTGGAGATTTCAACCAGGCTCTGATGGAACTTGGTGCTACTTTATGTACTCCTTTAAGTCCTAGTTGTTCATCCTGTCCAGTGTCGGCTCAGTGCAGTGCTCTTTCGGACTCCAAACATAACCCATCGATGCTTGTTACTGATTATCCAACTAAAGTGGCAAAGGTGAGACAAAGACACGACTTTTCTGCTATCAGTGTCGTTGAAATATTAGAAGGTGAAGAAGATGCAAGTAAATTTCTGCTTGTCAAGAGACCAGAAGAAGGTTTACTTGCTGGGCTTTGGGAGTTTCCATCGGTTTCTATGAATGGAGAAGCCGATGTGGTTACAAGGAGACAAGCCATTGATGATTTCTTGAAGAGTTCATTCGGCCTGAGTTCATCTAATGTTATTGAAAGAGAAGAAGTAGGCGAATATGTCCACATCTTCACCCACATTCGTCTCAAGATGTATATCGAGCTACTGGTTCTACGTTCACGAGGTATTCAAATATCCATTTTCTAGTTTTATGGGAGAAGAAAAGCATAAAACAAATGGGTTGTTTTTCCTTGAATCAATGGGTAATAATCAGATTGTATATTAGTAAGTTTGTTTGCATACTAAATATGGTTAGTGTTTGCATACAGATGTGCATAGAAAGGAGGAGAAAGCAGTAACGTCTTATAAATATGTTGATACCAAAACCCTTGCAAGCATGGGATTATCAACTGGAGTCAGAAAGGTAACAACCTTCTACCTTTTCTGCTGTTAGTTTTAGATCATTGACAACTAAAGTTACGTTTTTACCCTTGTCGCGGAAATGGGTATTTTATTAAACCCTCCTACTTTTTGTGGTTTTTTACATGCCTTCAACTCTATGTTCCATCTTTGATGCAGGCTTACAACATGGTCCAGAAGTTTAAACAGACCAGATCAAATCTCATCTCAAGATAAAGTGATATGTTTGAATGTGTGTATTTCCAACTTTGGGCACATGTTTGAACTAAATGCCATCATTGTAGCTTCTCTTTTTTTCTTTTACCATACGATCTTGGTTTCTATATTATAACTGTGGTGGTGTATGAATGAATATGCACTTCCTTTAATGCGATACAACTCCCAAATATTTTGATGAGATTTGGAATTAGATCCTGCATTTGACTCCATTAACAGGTACCTATTTGCATCCATTGTCTCAAGGTTTGGATCCAACTAATCCACTGATACCAAATAGTTCACGGGAGAGAATTGGTTTTAAAAAAGGTCTTTGTAACTGAAAATTGAAATCTTACAAAGATTGGATTAAAAATCTCAAAAGGCAGTTACAGAATTTATTTGTGATAATGTTTTAAAATATATTAAAACATTCATTTTGTAAACATTAATTGATAAAGGATAATTTAATTATTTTTATAGTTATTTAAAATTTATTTTATAAATTATCTATAACAAATGGAATTCAATTTAATTTCAAATCCTATAAACTATACATACCAAAAATTCCAAATCCCTTCAATTTCAAATATTTTATGAAATCCAAATTCCTCAAAAACATTCGATCAAACCAAATGCTGCCTAAGAGGCCATTTATCACTTACTTATCGGTAAAATTTTAGTCCACGGAAATGGTATCATATGCAACGATTTATCCGGTTTTTGCCTCCGCTCTTACCAAGTAAGATTTTTAGTCCTTGCAATATGCATCCAATAAGGTAAAATATGACTTGGTAAGTGGTTACCCATGCAATTGTTTGGTAAACCGCACCTAAGTACATTCACCGGATGAACAATTCTTAGTTACAAAAACAGACAACTCAACCGCCCAAGATCAAAATGCCCAGAGAATTTGAATAATTTAAAAAAAAATACAAATTACAGAAAAAAAATCAAAGTCCATGAAGATTGTATCTTAAGATGAATAATTTTCAGCAATATTAAAGCAGGACCCATAACTGTATTCCATTTCAATACACAAGAACCTCAACAGAGATAAAAAAAAATCATCATTTTTTCAATAGCCAAAACAGCCAAATCTAAAGCAATGTTAGCATCATTGCTCTAGATTTGACCATTGCAGCTCCTGAACACAAAAAAAAAAGAATGGAATGGAATGGAATGGAATGGAATGGAATGATATGTAACAATCTTATTCTACACCAACAAATAATTTCTCACCTCCCACACAAATCTGTCTTCTTGGTTGGTAACATATACAGCAACATAAACTCCCCCGATTAACCCTTGGAGGAGGCTCTTTGCTCGATAGATGTGTATAATCTCTTCATCACCATATCTTTTTCCATAAACATATTTTTCTTCACACCACTTAAAAAAGCTCCTCTGAATTGAACTTGTTCCACGCCTCCTATTTACACCAATTCAAAATTACAACAATTTGTCGGTTGTTTGATGATCAATGCGATATCTAAAATAACCTTCAAGAATCACAACACAGGAAACTCCTCCAAAATCAACAGTTATGATGACGTCGTGTTACATTTAGATTGAATAGATTCCAAAATGGAAATATGACAAGTTCTTGTATAATATTGACTTCAGTATTACTTTATATGCACAAAAGGTAAACAAAGAAAAAGAACAATATATATTTCTATTCCATTTTTCAAATTTAAAACCTGAATGAACTTTAACGTATATAACAAAATGTATTCTTTTTCGGTTTTCTACTTTTTAAGACTGGGAAGACCTTTGTAATTCCCTGGGTTTACCAGTGCGGGTTTGAACTCATGGCTTATCCTGAACTAGCTTAAACCAGTCCCAAGTTGGGCTACTAATATGGCAATTTTTGACTGCAAAAGTTTAGCAAAAAGACTTATTTTTGCACAGTTGGTAAATTGTTGTTCAGCTTCAGAATGATTAACCAGCTTGAGATATGATAAAAGAAATATGGATATGTACCTTAAGTATGTCAAACACCTTTTCGGCAACATATTTCTGTTGAAGATTAGCTCCTTTCTGCTGCACCTTGTCAGGATGAATGCAGAGAGTTGCCTTTCTATAAGCCTTTTTCACGTTGACACCAGTTATCAAATCGGTCAATGAAAGAGGTTGCCAACCGCATCCAGGCCATAAAACCTAATAATAATCCATCAACAGAAGAATGAGCATTATTGAAAAAGAAGATAGCAAATATGAAACAGTTCTCCAACAAAAAATATGCAATGATACATAGTTGAATAGAGTGCTTCGACAAAGGATCAACTACCTAGAAGACCCCTTCACAAAACAAAGTTGAGAATCCCACAGATTTCTTATAATGATCAACTACCTAAAAGACCCTTAAACAACAAGGTTGATAAAACTTGTGAACCATCATCAATCCCATGAATTCCATGTAATGATTGGGAGAAGACAAGTAGAGTAAATTTGCAAAGGAATCTTTTGAAAGTGAAGAAAAGGAAATGTTGCATTCTTTGGGACAACCCAAATTAGAAAGTGTTGCACTTCTATGGGGTGGAGGGAGTAAAATACATGTCCAGTAGCTCCTTCTTGTCTCTAGCAAATTAAGTGGCCTAAAATTATGACAATCTAACAAGTTTCACCCTACTATTGATTTCAATGATAAAAAATTTACTATTTTTTGTCACTTCCATATTTTGAATGTCAATATCTTTATGAGCCAACTATTTCTAGCAACTTAATTAGGGGAATTCACAAAGTAGTGGACATTATCTGTTACTTATCCTTATCGGTACAATACCTACTGCATGTGCAGATTCTTCACCTTTTGCCTTTACTTGTTTTAAAGCTTTAGCTTAAACTCAAAATGATTAAATGAAACAATTGTTATCTAAGCAGTCCCGAACTCCACAATCCATATGAAGTCTACCAGTCTACAGAATTGATATTAAGCTTTAGCTTAATATCAATTCTGTAGTGTTCTTGTGCAATAGCAGGATATTATGGTCATGACTTGCAAATGATAAATGTTTCCTTAAACTCATTACATCATATTGAAATTAAGATATAAATTGTATGTTTGCTGTTTAGGAGTCAGGTCATATTAACACCATTTTAACAGAAGTTAAACTTTGACTTATTAGTTAAGCCACAACTTTACCACTCCATAATTCAAACTTTCCAATACAAGCGACTTAAACTTCGAGTCATACACAGGATAGAAACATTAATGAAGATATTACTAAGACATACATATTGTAATGTTGATAGCAGTGCACGCAAATTTCCTTCTTTCCCTGCAGCCCAGCGCTTGATTTCACTATCTAAAGTTTCACCAATCCTCTGAGATGAACACATAAAGATCAGAAAACGAACATCATTAAGCAAGACTAAATATTCAAAAAATGCAGAGGGAAAGACCCACACTAATATAAGACGCCAGTCCTTACAATATGCATGCTCTTTGGCATAAGATGGTGATGAGTTCACATGCATACATACAGGTCCAATATGCCACAAAAGCATACCGAATTACAGAAAACATGTAGCCAAACAAAATTCCATGAATTATATAAGCCCACGAACCCCCTTGGCATATACCACACTAACCCACACCCCAGATTCCCACCCTTCCAAATTAATAAAAGAAAAACCATAAGTCTTGACTTACAAATACATTAATATAAACATTCTGAAGAAGAAATCTCCAAATCATGTAGCAAGATAGAAAATGTGGAATGTGGTTGTTTAACATTCCAATATATGCATGTTCGAAATTAGAAACAGTCACCAAAAAAATAATACCCATCCTCAAAATCCAAGCAAATGCAAATACATGTCTACAAAACAAAGATTGCTGAAGGCTTCTGATGCAACAAAAACATGAATAATACTCACACTTCTTTCTTCCTGTTCCCTCTGTGATTGGAGATCACGCTGGTTCTTTTCTTCCAGTGCTTTAGCCTGTGCACATCATGTATCACATAATGTTTCACTTTGGAATATACCTTAACATATGCGAAAATGAATCATGAAAACATCACTCGAAAATTACATACCGCACGGTCCTGTGTGCGTTGGTGTCTTTCCAGCCTAGCTCTTCGTCTTTCCTCTGTTTCCCCTTCAACATCTTGGAACCCTCCAGCAGATGAAGGGGCAGCTTTTAAAAGGAAACAAAATAATTAGCAAGCAGTGAATATTAAAGAATAAGCCAAATATTATATCGAATCTAAACTAGCATACCTCCAAATATTGAGCTAAGATCATCAACGATATTGGTGGTAGAAGATGCTTTTCTCATATTGGATGTAGTGCTAGTCCTCTGAGCCCCTTCCTGACCTCGTCTGTTCTGGGATAGTGGATCAGTTGCAGAGTCCTGCATTGCAGATAAACCATAGCCCAGAATGTTTAACACTAGGAACTTTCAAAACATATCCAAATAATTATGGCATATGATACACCATTTACTACTCACAGAAGCAGTCCTCGGTCTTGGCGCACTGCTTGGTCGGGAACCCATGTTGAAGAAGGATTCAAGGTCATTATCATTCTTTTGTTGATTCATCCTGGCAGCAGCAGCAGCCCTGTCTCTAGCTTCTACAGCAGCTCTCTCCCTAGCCTCAGCAGCAACCCTTTCTACAGCAATACGTTCTGATCTACGCTTTGCATCTGCTTCAGCCCTTGCAACAGCAGCTTTCTCCCGTGCTGCTTTCTCCCTCGCTTCTGCAGCAGCCCTTTCACTGCTTTCTGCGGAAGCCCTTTCCCTAGCTTCTGCAGCAGCCCTTTCTGCTCTTCCCCTTGCATCAATAGCTGCCCTCTCACGGGCCTCAGCTTGTGCTCTCTGAACGGCAGCCCTCTCAGACTTTAAGCGAGCTTCAGCAGATGCTCTCTCGCGTGCCTCAGCTGCTGCTCTTTCACGAGCTTCCCTAGTAGCCCTCTCTACTGCTTGTCTAGCTTTTTCCCTTTCAATATCCTTCCTCACTTTTTCAAGTCTACTTTGCTCTCTCTCCTGCTCTTCCCTCTCTCTCTGTTGGCGCTCCCGTTCTTGCCTCTCCCGCTTCGACTCTTCTTCCATGGACACTTCATCTTTCTGTAGTTTCATAGATTCTTTACTTCTAGAAGCCTTTGCATGTTCTCTTTCCCTTACTTCCTTTGCATGCTTAAACTTTGCCTCAGCCCTGTCCATAGCATCCTTCATGGCAGCAGCAGCTGAGTTTGAATCCATCTCTTCACCATATTGGGCATCAGCATCGTCCTCACCATTGTCCGGCATCCCACCCATGGCAAAATTCTCAAGCTCATCTAACGGAGAAACCATGGAACTCTTGGCCACAGGTTGGAAGGGATTATAACTTTGAGAGAATTTAGCAGAATTTGGTGAAGCAGAGTAATCATTCCCAACTGTTCTGGTATTTGAAGCAAAAGAACCTCTTTCAGACTTTGAAGCATGCCTCGGTATTGGAGGAGGAGGTCTTGAAGGTGGTGGAGCTCTGGTTGGTTGTGTGAACAGAGGTATCTCTGACACAGTGAGCCATATATCGTCAGCTGGCTGCACATATTCTTCTGATGTGGGAGACATGTCCACTTGAGAACTTGTCTCGGTATAAGAAGGTGGAGAAGTGGTCTGATCAACAGATCTCTGAGAAACTTTAGAAACAGCCGGCATGTCAAAGATAGTTTGCTGAGATTCCGGAAAATCTTCCAGAGGCACCTTCTGTGGTTGGCTCTCGGAATATGTAAAAGAAGATTTCTCTGGTGGCTCCCTACGAGTTGAACTTCTTGAACTGCCCATACCCGATCCTTCTTTAAAAGGGCTCTGATCCTTACCCTTGTTACTCTCATTTGAGAATGCAGGTGCAGGCTTACCAAATCCATGAAGGGGGTCTAAGTCATCAAACATGCCCCCATTTGCTGATGATCCTCCAGCATTTGTGCTCGCAGATTTACTAAACCTGTGAATCGTTTCCAGTGGATCAATGAAAACACCTTGGGATGAAGTGGCAGGGGTTGATGTAGACTCTAGAACCACAAATGGATCATCAATTCCATTAGAAGTTTCCTTCGTGTTGCCAGTTGATAGTGGTGCTGACTCTGAATTCGATCTGTGAGAATAGAACAACATTAAGAACCAGCAGCTTATTTGACTGTCATCAATATAAGGCTACCCATGATTGAAAATGTACTTTTTCTGAAAAAATAAGCAGAAAAATAGTGAAGATAGTCCTGTTTGGGAAACTAATCTTAGCGAAAAAGGAATGCAACAAAGTCTTATCCTTGATATAATTACTTACAGTCGAGATTCATGAGACATAATTTTAGATGTTTAGCAGGTCAGCAACATATCAAAATCGACGAACATATAAGAACCCAGACATGCCTCAAATAGGATAATGAACAAGAGAAAGAAAAGGCTGTAATTCTTCCTCCTCTCCCTCTTTCCCTACAAGGGATACATATGGTTGTTATTTACACCCATGTAAGGACTTCTATTTGATGGCAACTCATTCCAATTCTTAGGGATGTCCTCGTGCACCACCACCCATCAACTATGTAACTAACAAGCAATCTCATTACATCCTCTTCCTTTCTCTAGCCAAGACGCACCCCTGCCATGAATATCCACTATTTCTCCTACCCCAAACATTTCCACCTGGGGGAATCAGAACTCAATGTTACCTATGTAGATGATCTTCACTTCATAAATTCTGTAAGACGTGACCCAAATCCACTTATTTTTGTTAATACCCACCATTTACGCAAATTCATGAACTTGCTCTTTAATGGTAACTCAATGCAAAATACTTACTATTAATGTCTTCCACTCTGATGCTGCATTCTCTCCACTAGGACCAGTACTAATCTAAATATTTTTGCATCTTTTTTTCATTTTTAAGCATAGTGTCAGCATCCAAATAATACACAGGAGTTCCTTGCTGATTCAGGTGAGGGTCCTTCAATACACAAACAAAACCTTCATCATAACAACTTTGGGCATATACCTTCTCTAGCAGGCACACACATAATGGAAGCAGAGCAGCAACAAGTTGGAGCATAATATGTAAGGCATGCATGATCATTGTTTAAACCTAAAAAAGGACCATCAGAGCGCATTGTAAAGGGCTTAGCTCAAGCAAGTGAAGCGCCTTAGGTAAGTCTTGATGATCCCTATGCATAGACACTTTGGCGATTATTCACCCATCTGAGAAGGTGAATTAGCTATATGCAAACACAAGTCTCTTTTGCAACAATTGTAAATGTATTAAATATATGCAAATGTGCAAATAAATAATATTAAGTCACATCAATTTCCAAGTACATTTATCATCCTTTCTTGTTAGGGGGTTTCTTCGCATGCCTCGAAATAACACAACGCTGTAAACCCGAAAATATCTACATGTTGATAATGATATTTGTTCTCTCATATCTTCACCATCATAATATATTTAAAATTAGTATTATTCTCCTCACCAAATCACAAATATAAAAATGTGAGGGAACAAGAGCATGAAAGAAATAACCTGTGCATCTATTTATGAGCTCATTACAATCCCAAATTATGGCAAGAAATTCGAAAAAGAAACTACCCCAGAGTAAAGTCTAGCATATTCAGCTTAAAAATACTGTGAGATCCTACGACATAGGCATTCCTCCACCTCCACATTTAGTGAACATAGTCCTAACAATGCTTTTGAAACACCAAAAGTAGGTGGTGTGTATATTCCTAGACTCCTGCAGTTCTTTAGCAACACCAGTGTTGTTGGATAGCAGTTTACTTTTTTGGGCGACATGAAGGCAAAACACAGATAATTATGATCCAACTAAATTGATAACTAAAGATTCTGTTTTCCTAGAGTTAATGCACAGGCTCCTACAGAATAATTTTCTTAGTACACAACAGTAATTTTACTTCAATTCTTGATCCATATGAAAACCTGGCTATAATGCTGCTTAGGGTTATCCCATTTCAAAACCAAGAACAAATACATTCCTTCTAGTATTAGGATCTTGCTTCTTATGCTCGCAATAAACTGACTGAACGGTATGAACCAAAACTGGAACCAAATAACTAAAACAGCAGCTGGAACAAAGCACAGTACCTGCTACTGGATGCAGGACCGCCGCTTCCAAAGCCAGGAAGCAAATCATCCAAACCTCTTGGACTCTTGCTAGTCTTGTGCTTGGGTGGTTCCACTTTCTCCGTTCTACCTAGATTACCTAGTAGATCATCAAAATGATCACTCTGTTGACTCCGTTTAGGCGGCGATGCGGTCATCGAGGCGAAAATATTATCCTCGTATCTCGCGGAAGCAGAATGCATCGATTTGCTCTTCATCCCTGGCAATCCATCGAAAATGTCGTCGTCATAAACCGGCTTATCGTAAACCGGCAAATTCGGAGACGTAGATTTGCTTTTTGCTTCATTACTATTCGTGGATGCTGAATTCTTGAAAATCGAATCATAATCGATATCTGACATGGCTGATGTCGATCTAGAGTTGTTGTTGGTAAATTTAGGCGGACCGCCAAAAACGTCGCTAAATATTTGATTCTCTTCAGCGACAAATGGCGATGACGACGATGGAGCTCTGCTCCGGAAATCTACACCGTCGGATTTCATCGGAGCAGATTTTCCTTGGGGCCTAAACCCGAAATCTCTAGCTAACATACCAAAATCATCCATTTGATTCACCAGATCTGACAGCAAAGACGTGGATCTCAAATTACTGAGACGATGATCGATGGTGAAGGTAAATGTTTATTACAACCCTACTTATAGTTTATAAACAGTACAGATGTTGACTAGAGAGCAAACCAATCGGAGATTGAGTAGCGTTACGGTTGAGGACGACGAACGTAGAGGTGGCGGTGGCGGTGGCGGTGGCGGTGGCGGTGGCGGTGGCTGTTGACGGCCGTTGATTTCACGGCGTGTTTTTTTCAGTTTCTTTTCGTCGTTCCTCCGCCTCTTGGGTCTTGACACTCCGTTTACTGGGTTTAATTGGAGATTTATTCAGTCTAACAAGCCGAGTACGTTTTGGTATTTATTTTTTATTGACATGATATCCAACCCGTTATGTGAGCCCATTAATCACAAGACGACTACTTTTATAATGATAAAATAAATAAATAATATATGTTAAACGGTTATTGTTGAAAATTAAGAGATACAATATCTATACTATATTATAAAATATTTTATGAAAACTCTTAAAAATCATTTTTTATGTATGAAGTAAATGTATATTACTTAAAATTCAAGAATACAAGTAAATTGTACATAAGTACAACTTATTAAATCTTTATTTTTAAATTTGTGTAACTAATTATAGATAAATATAATCAAATACAAAACAAACATCTCATTTTATATATAACAACTCTAAAATATGATTAGAATAATTATTGACTTCTAACATAATACTTAATTATCTTTATAAAAAAATGATATTATTAAATAAAAAATAAATTACTTCATTGTTAAACATAAATTAAATTATACTAAAAATTGAATTAAAAAAATTATATAAAAAACGAGAATTTTTAAATAGTTAATTTGATACCAATATTGATATATTTTTTTCAAAGTTTTATGATATCTTCAAGTTTATATTTTATTCAAAAATAAAGATATTATTGATTTCTCAAAACCAAGTAAAACCGTGTTATATCGACACGGGCAAAAAATAAAACAAAATATTACAATCCAAATGTATCTCGCTGCATTATGCGAGTATCATTCTAGTATAATCTATATTATATATAAGCATGTTAAACGATTAAGTGTTGAAAATTAAGAGGTACTATCCCTTATACACCGTCTACAAGTTTTGAAGCTAAATATCTCCCAAATAACTATCCATTTCTTTTTATTTTTTATTTTACACATTTATCATATTTATCATACATAATTGTATATTAACTATAGATATATTAAAAAAAAATACGTTTGACTTCTTACAAATTATACAGTTATAATTGTCTCATCAATACCTTCAAAATGAGTTTAATATTGAATATTTTGGATTCAATCATATCTATACTATATTATAAAGCATTTGGCTAAAACTCTTAAAAACTCTTAAACTCTTAATCTCTTAAACTCTTAAACCCGCTCATCTCTAAACGA